ACAGCTTAAATAAAACCAATATTGAATGCGTTATAATGATAGTTCAAATTAAATGTATAAAAAAAGTAATTTGGACACATGGAATTTATCACATAAAATGCATTCTTGGCCAACATTTACATGAAATTATTCATTGTTTCATTGATTAACATAAAATTACATTTGAATTTTCAATATTTTTCTACATTTTTCTTTAAATTTAAAAACCCTTTATGATAATTTCATTGTAAGCTTGTAATGATGACATCGAAAAAATATAATTGTGGTAGAATATATATAATATTGAATTAATTAGAAATTTCACCTAATAAGATATTTTACACGATATTTCAAAAAAAAAAAGAAATTTCAAATAAATTTTTGGCTTCTCTATATAGCTACCTAATGTAATATTGATGTTAAACAAAAATATTTTTATTGATGGTGACTTTATTCTCCTATATATATATATAATACATACATATGTATAGTCGGTTAAAAACTAAGAAGAATCCATATTAATGAATAGTGTCTTAGTTCTAACTGTAATTACTATATACACTTATATATAAATGGTGGCTATAAGCCTACCTATTGCATTGTAAAATCTAGTTCAATAAAAGTTTTGATTTAACTTTGATACTTGAAATTAATAATAATAAGAAAAAGTACAAATAAAAATGCAAATACGTTAAATTTACGCCTTTCCTTATATACAATGAGGAATATGGTATGTAAAATGCAATTTTTTCTTTTGTAATTAAAAAACTGAAAAATATTACAGCTTTTGTTAATATTACAATTGAATTGAATTAAAAAAAAAAAGTCCCAAACGAGCTTCTACGTAGATATTCAGTGTTTTAATTAATTGAAATCGGCACGCAACAATATGGGCGTCTATACACCTAATTGACATATTCAGCGATATAATTTCAATTGATTGAGTGATTAGGAAAAGAAATAGAACATTGTTTTGCATGAAAACCGTGTTAAATATTATAAAGATGTAAAAACAAACCTATAAATAAAAATGTTGAGTATCTGACGTTTATTTTTTTGATAAAAAAATACAAAGCCATCTACCAGAATAAATATGCGTAACTATTCCTTTTAACTATACTTCTTTTTTGCCATTGGTATATTTTTGGGTTGAAGATCTATGTAATTTTCTTTGTTACACAATGTAAGATACCCTCAAAGCAGAGCTCTTAAAAGCTTTTAATTTAAACTCATTTTTAAAATTAAAATTCAACTGCGAAGACTTAGGGTCATCACAGGAATTTATATAATAAACTAATTCGCTTCGAAATATTATAATTAAAAAATTTATTTTATTTTAAACTAAATATTTTATTTAGAACCCGTTCTATCGAATTAAATAATTCATCACTGACAATTTACATATCTATTATATAAGTATACATAAATAAATATACACAATTATATAAAAATTTCTTAGTGGACACTTTTCATTTGGAAAGAAAAAAAAAAAAAAATAGAAAGTTAAAAAAGAAATTGATAGTGACCTAAATTCAAACATAGACAATAAAAATGTAGAATTAATTTTTATTCCTTTCTATTAAAAATTTGGTTTTATTGTCCTCAATATAGAAAATGTAGAGAAAATATATATATATTATAATAAATAAATTTGCATACATATAAATACATACATATGTGCGCTAATTATTTTTTTTTTTGTTAATTAAAATCAGAAATAAATTGCAAAATTATTTAGCTAACAATTACGATGGAATTAAATATGTATTGCGAAATTTAGTTGAAAGAACATTTTGCAAAAATAAAAATCAAAATTTATTGTCTCTACATGATAGACATAACTACATTATACGTATATATACAGTGACGGCCTTAATTAATTATACTATTTTTAAATCGTTATTGTTGATTAATTAATTTACTGAATATAATCATAAAAAAAAAAAATAATTTAAATTAAAAGAAAGAATATTGATTAGAAAATATAGAGTGTAGGGCAAAATTATTTTCTGAAATTAAAAATAACCTAATTTTAAAAATGTAAATATATATTTGACATTTTTTGACAAGAACGTTTAGATATGTCAAAATTTTACTTTTATTAAATATTCGAAACTATTATTTTGTGTGATACTTCTATTTTTGTGTTCTTAAACAGAATGCACACATTAGACCCTTTCATAAACAAAGTTTATCCCGATTATATATCGAAAACTGCATTAAATTTGTGTTCATAGACAAATATTTCGCAATTAAGTGAAATCAGTATGAGTAGCGCACTTAAATCATATGAACTGTTTTGCTTTTATAAAATAGTTAAAAATATGTATATTGCATACTCGCCATCGTTATATTATTGCAAAATTGTGTTTTGTCGTTATTGTTCTTATTTGTCATGCATGTTGTTTTGCAAATTATTCTTATTCTGATTTCTTACGTTAGCCCATTTTACATAGAGAAAATCAGTACGTATTGTTTTCCTTTTTTCATTTATTTGTTTTGTACGAATAATTTCTGCATTTACTGTACGTTTGCTAATTTTCTATAATATACGTTTGATTTATTTTTTATCCAATAAAAAACTTTTTTTTTATACATTTCATTCAAAAGAAAGACCGTTTTCGATCGCAACGTTGAGAGTGAAATGTCATTTCACCTAAACGGTATAATAATTTCCTAATTATTTTAAAACCTTTTCAAAGTTAATTTACCTTTGTTCCAGATTTTACGAAAAAAAAAAATAAAAATTGGTATTTTTTTTTCTATTAGCTAATATCATTATAATTAGACGAATTTTTATTTCTTGAATATTTTTTTATTTTTTTTGCATATATGCGAACCATAAAATATTACATAAACACACAACGTGTGTGTAAGTACATACACATTATATATGTTAGTTTGTAAACTAATCCGACAACACGTATTTACATTTGTATATGATGTATGTAATGTATATATGTAACAATATATAGAAATGGAGGTTATTTATGCAATTGAATTTGGTTCACGTTTATGTTTTTCTAATTTTTTCAATTTTTTTTTCTTTCAGTTTTTCTTCTAATTAACGTAAACTTATATTGAAAATGTGGACTGGTTATAACCTCGAATATAATTGGATTTGAAGTAATTTTGGTCTTATTTTTTTAAGCTTACACTGTTAACATTTTAGTGAACAGGCGTTTAGTTTCAACAAAAAAAAAACATAAGAATAAAAGAAAATTCAAACAAAAGTTTGACATAAAATTCAATCGAAGCAGAATGCATTCATTATTTTGAATTTGAAAGAAAAAAAATTAGAACATTCAGTTGGCGCCAATAATTTCATTAAACTAATTTTATCTGTATTATATTAAATATACATATATGTATACTTGTTATATCAAAAAGTCTCTTTGATGTCAATCGTTCAATATTAAATAGATTAGAGAATAGAATACCCTATTAAACGTATTTATGTACATACATAATTATGTATTAATAATACATACATAAATATTAAACAAATACATTGTTATCACTTTTTGTGTGGGTCACACAATTAAAGGACTCAAATGTAGTGCAATTGCACAAAAATAAAAAAAAAAAAGAAATTCTGAAGAAATTTATTTTATTTAAAAGTATTTTTCAATATAAAAAACAAAGATTAATTCGTTATTCAAATCGACATGGTAAGTACTTGAAAATATAAAAACTAAAAGCGTTGAATGCTTCTTTTACAAATCTTTTTAATTTGAAAGCGCATAACTACTTGGACTTTCCCGAACAACTAATATTGAAGTAAAACTTTTACTCTTTGGTTGGTAAATGGCCAAATTTTTCAATTTATATTTTACTTGCATATTTCTGGGGGTGCACATTTCTAAAAAATTAATTTTATTTCAAATTAAACATAATATTCCTGGTTGTTCTAGAAACCGAGTAAAATGAAAACGATTATGTGAAATCAAATTGAAATGAGTTTAGTGTTCTAAATTTCATTCTTTTTTTAAAGAACTAAAATTCATCTTCGAAATGCATTAATTTAATTAACAAGTTTTGATATAAAAATTTATTATAAAAAAAATGTAATTTAATAGATCAAACTACTTAACATTCCGAAATGATGTTAGAGCAATCACGTTTTTTACTTTTGGTACTGAACCACGAAATTGCAAAGAAATTTGCTTCAATCATAATTTTTTGTAGGTAAGTGAAATTAAACTTAATATCTTTTAAACTTAATATCGCATAATTAATTAAATTCATTCGGATTTTTTTTTTTAAGTGAGCAATAAGAAATTTCAAAAATCTTCGTTACCTTTTAAAAATCACAAATTCTTAACTTATTCTTATACATACATATATTAATATGTACGAAATATTTACTTATATTATTAAACATTAAATATGTACATAGGTACTTGAAACACACAAAATCACCTTAAGTTTTATGAAACCTAACAAAGGTAAAAAAAAAGAAATAATAATAAAAACAACACAATTAAAAAATAAGAATCCAAATGTTTGTTTTTGAATAACAGATAACGCACATTACATTGTTTTAAAGCGCTTTCATGGTAAATTAAAGATAGATAAACATTTCTCCTAAAAAAAAAGAAAAAAGAAATTAATGAAAAAAAAAATAATCCTCTCTTCTAAAATAGTAAAATGTGCAATTTTCATTAATTTAATAAAAGTTTTCAGTAATTTTTTAAATAATTTTTTTTTTGCTTTTCTTTAAATAATATTTGTATAATGTAGAGTACTAGTTTGACAAACATGTAGGTAACATAAATTGTTTTTCTTATTTTGTTTTTACAGATCGATTTTTCATGAGACATTTGTTGTGGCTCTGTAGATGCGCAAAAGAAAGCAGACTACTACAATATTATCATCGCTCTCTCTTACAATTTTCTCTTTTAGGACATTTTCATCTACATAACATATAAAAAATGTTACAACTTATGTTATATCTATTTGTAATAATATCGTATTTTAAATTTATGCACGTTTTAAAAAATTTCATTGTTAAAACTTACCGAGTTTTCAAATGTAGTAAATATTTTAAAGTGTAGATATAGAACTTTTTGATAAAATATCCGAAAAGTACGTTGTATATATAATTTAAATCCGGTATAAAAAAATGTTTCCACACTTATGCATTCAATAATTCAGCTGACCCAAAGTCATTATATATAAAACTATTTGTTTAAAAATAACAGCTGCTCCCAAAAATCTCAGTAGATTTATCTCGGCAGTATCAAACAATACAGTAAATTTATTACATTCAAAACTGATTTGCTCTTTCTGTTATTTATTACATGTATATACATTATTTTTATATAAACTTGTACGTAAATGGTGTTTATCGCCACATGTTATTTACGATATAAAAATAGATTATTATGTAATTTACAAAAATTATTTTTTCTGCTTAGCAGCGCTTTATAAATGGTAAATAACTTAATAAAAACTGTTAAGGTTAGTCTGTTGAAACCACTGTTATGTTTTAAAAATTTTAACCAAATTTAATTTTCATAAACAATATATTTTTTAAAATAACTACTTATATAACACTTAATTATCTCACCAAGGTATTTGATATTCAACAGTAAAAACAAAACTTTGTAAAAAATTTGAAAATGTTAATTAAATGCTAGTCAAAAAAAGTTAATTATAAATATCATTTACAGTTTTAAAAATTTTTATAAGTATAAATCATAAATATTATTGTAAAAATTTAAGGATATTATTGTAAAAATTTAAGATTCAAATTTCTGTAATGTTTATGGATAAATTTATTATTCTTTCCAAAAATCAGAAATTTTTTTTTCAGAAATTTAGAAACTGGAAGCCGACTCATTTTCGTAAAAATCAAAATCAAGAACTTTTTTCTTTTTGTATTTTTAATAAGTATACAAGTTCAGTTCTCATAGAGCGTTCTTTATTCAACTCTAAGATTTCTAATTTTAGAAATTTTGTAATATTCCTATTTTGCACTAAATTAATTATCATCAAAGAACATTAATTCAAAACCAAATCTCGATGTTTTAAAATTTTTTTTATAAGAAAAATTACAAGTATTTGTTAGCTTTTAATAGGATCTGCATATACTCCATTATTTTGTATTTTCCTATATAACGATATATATTTTCCAGCGGTCACAGTTTTAGGGATAATGTAAAGTTCACAAAATTTCGTTTTACTTTTAGCAGCTTCAAATATACTTCGGTTGTATTTTAAAGATTGAATAAATTTTAAAACAAATGTGTAACAATTATACGTTTCCTCTTCGTAGTTATCAGCATTCCAACATGATAAACTGCAAACCTAAATAATATTAATGTTATTGAGGCAATCAAAATATAAACGAAGGTATTAAAATATACCGTTTCTAAAATAATGTCCCATTGTTCATGCCATGCTTCTGAAGCATTTTCTACTAAAAGAGATTGATGCCAAAGGCAATTTGCTATCCGTGTATTGTTTGTAGAGTTTCCATATAATGTTGTTAATCCTTTGGAAGTTAATCGGAGCCCGTCTCGATCAAATTCGTAAATAGTTCCTTTTGAGTTTGTAATCCCTATATGTAAATCCATTGAATTATTGTAGTCGCTGTAACGGCAAATTAATAATTTTTTTTTTTTATTAATAAGTAGATATATTTTTTTGTATAGCCGCATGAAGTTTATAATTAAAGTTCATTTGGTTTTACATAATGAGAATCAAAAATTAATACTTAATTACTTTAAGAAATCACCATTTGTCGGTCTCAAAACTATTGCACAGGGATATTCTTCGGCTTTGACGAATGGGTATGGTACGCGGAATGGCATTAATTTGCAACTGATTTCAATTAACTTATTATAACATATTGGACATTTTACTGGTAAACTAAAACTAAAAATTTTTGCAGTACAATGCTGGAAACATATTATTCCAGGATCACTTTTTATAGACGAAACCATCTTAAAATCATGCAATTGCTTATTTCCAGAGCTTCCTTCCTAAAAATATAAAAAAAAATAATTAAATATAAATACGGTATGTGGTACATCATTATCAATATTTACCGTAATAATTATTTTCAAAGCAACTGTTTTATTTTCGTAATCAAAGTTTAATCATTTAGTTTATTAATGCCTATACTATGCATATAGCTGCGTTTGGGGAAAGTATAAAATAAACTTGCTTATTACTATAGCAGAATAACTTAATTATTGCTAAAAATTATTTTTTAACTTTATATTCATTTCCCATATACGTTATGTATTAACGTATCAAAAGCCTTATGAAAGTAAGAATATTCCAAGTTGTTATATGAAATTCATATTCATTCTTCTCTTTCTACACATTCAAACACTGTTTTTTTTTTTAATGTATCATATGAATGCAAATAAAGCATGCAATAGCTTATTTCCACAAAATTTACAATAGAAATCTATATGCAATTTTATTTGCTAATTATTTATTAAAAAGTTGGTTTAATTTTTCATTAAATATTAGCAATTATTTTCATAGTATTTTATAAAACATAAATAATTTTCACTTGAAGATCTGTCATTTACTTTCACATTCTGTTAAAAAATCAGAATAACTGTCAGTTGTCACTATAGAAATAATATGCTTGATCGTGGAGAGATAATGAATACTCTCCAAAATAGAGTTGCCATAATATTATAATTGCATTATGACATATTACTAAATGAAATATGTTTCGAAATTAATTTTGAAAATAAAAAAAAGGTTAAATTATTAATTAAAATAAATATCAATATAATTATTAGCATATTTAATCAAATCATAGAATATAGCAAATAAATAAAATGGCAAATCATTACGTACATACTCACGATATTTAATTATTGACAAACAAAGCACATTGCAAATAATGTTATACAGATGATTTACCAATTGCAGTTTTATTTACCACTTGGGTCGAATGAAATGAATGAAAATAATTTCAAACAGAATAAGCAATATTTCTTGAAACAATTCTGTTAAAATTGAATTTCTGTTACATTTTCATTGTTTTGTGTTTTTAATAAATAACATTTTAACCCCTATTTTTAACAGTAAACTGTTATCTACTTCACACTCTCTTATATACGATATTTTCAAAATGTGACTTAAAAAAAAAAAAAAGAAAGAGAGCATGTAAAGTGTCGCTCTCTTTTAAAATTGATTTTGTCCTAAAATGAAAATAAGGGGTAAAAATACCGTTAAATTTTACCTTTAACGTTAGTTTAGCACGGATTGTAATTGTTGACGGTCGTTTTTTTTTTGTTTTTGGAAAAAAAAAATTTGGTTCCGTAAAAGTTAAAAAAAAAATATTGAAAGAAAAAGTAAAAAAATTGAAATATAAAAGAAAGAAGGAAATCATATAAAATAAAATTCGCTGGAAGAAAATTTTTCTTCTTCGGTTTTTTTTTATTTTAGTTTAACTTAAACACACGCTAGATAAATAATTTACTTTTTTTTTTAGTAATTCGGACGGAAACTTAAGGACTTTTTTGTCTTCTTTTTTATACCTTTTACATTTTATTATTATTATTTTCAATAGTTTCCTTTTGATTTTTAGTTTTCCTTTTTTCTAAATGATTGTTCTGAGGAGGTAAAAGATACATATTATGTACGTATAATTCCGAAACTTACAAAAGAAGTAATAAAAAATAAGATTTTTTTTTTTTGATAAAATTAGTGTATGTATAACATGGAAAATATAGTGATTCACTAAATAAAAATAATAAGTATATAAAAAAAAATCTTATGATAGTGTCAAAAAAGAAGACTTTTTAAAATAATATATATAAGTTCGAATCCATATACGTATATTTGAATTCGAGTTTGGTTTTGTGATTTATCAATAATAGCCAAACAATTTATTTCGTGCTTAATATTTGAATGGAAATTTGTGTTTCGCGCTATATTTAATTTTAATGTTTTTTTTATTAAATTAAAAAAAATTTTTATCAAAAAATTTTTAATCATAATATAAATTTCGAGAAAAATAAAAAATAAAGTGCAGTACTATACACAATACAATTATAATTGCATTGCATATTTCTAGGAAATAATTGTACGAAATATCATTTCATTACGGGCACATTTATTTTATAATTAGTAGTCTACTCTCTTTTGTTCATCCATTTTAAAATGCAATACAATATAAATTTTAAATATTAAATATTATTGTATATTAATTTAAAAACTCGGAATATTATTTACTACTTAAATAAATGCAAAACAAAACAAACTTACCTACATTTATTATTACATTATATGGGTTTTTTGAGTTTAAGATAAGATTGAGTACACTCTATATATATTAACTGTTATATATTTGTTATATTTTATTTATAATTAGATTTACAGTGTTCTCTAAAACATAAAAAATAAAATAAAAAAAGTCAGTGTTTTTGAAAAAGAATAAAAGTGTGTTACTTTTCTTTATATACATTTATAAAAATAATTTGTGAGCAAACAAAAAATTAGCAGCAAATAACAAAAGAAAAAAACAAAAACCAAAAGTAAAATTAAAAAAAAAATCATTTGACAACTTTACACACGAAAAAATTATATATATATATATATATACCTACCCACACACACATTTTAATGTATTGTTAAGCAATTAAGGATAACCTCAAAAAATAAAAAAAAGAGTAATAATATAATAACAATAATAGTAATAATAACAGTTATATATTTTGTATATACATAGTGAGAGAGACGGAGAGAGAGAGAGAGGAATCTATGAAAAAATTGTGTTGCTCAGAAAAAAACCTTATTTTTTTATTTTGTTTTACTTATTGTTTCATTTGAAATATAATTAAAACTAAGTTACAAAAAAAAATTTGATATTTAATAAATCAAATAAAAAAAATAAAATTAATGTATATAAAAGAAATAAAATTAAAGGAAATGATCAAAAGTAGTGTTGAAAAAAAGAAACCCTTTAATTTTTCTATACTTTTAAAAATTTCAAATTTATTTGCCTTCAACTAAACCAAAAAAAAAATTAAAAGTGAAAAATCATTAATTAAAAATAAAACAAAAAAGAAAAATAAAAAAAATGAATCCTTGCACCTAACGATATTCAAAGTACATAAAAATAAAACAAAAAAATAACCCGAAAAGGGAAAGAAAGAAAAGTATAAAAACAGAAAATACAAAAGGATATGCTGTCGTTTTAGCGGTATTTTTAATTTTTTAATTTATACATTATAATATTAAAACATATTTTACAGCTTACACTCGGTACATCGAAGGACATTTTTAAAAAATATATTAAAACACCCCAAAATGAAATTTAGTTTAAGGTTAATTAAATTTAGGCAAATTTATATATATATATATATATATATATAACTTAGTATTAAGTCAATGGAAATTTATTCATACAATTGCAGAACAGATGTATAACCTAATCAAAGAAACGAGTTAGAGGCAGAAAACTTAAAAAATTTTCTTATCTAACTGGACACGAACCAGTGACCTACCGCTTTCTAGGCGAAGGCTCTACCAACTAAGCTACAGAGATGTGAAGAAATTGCCGACGAATTGTCATTGACATTGCTTTATAATGCAATCCATATTAATTAGTCTTGCTCGAGCGTTTTTAATTGATTATTTCAAGACCTTCCAAATAGACTCATTAATTCTGCATCCCACTTTATTTTATAAATTATTCCTTTCTGATAACTTTCAAGTTTTTAAAATACAAATAAAACTCCTATAATATTTATACATCTCTTTACTTTAAAACACCCTTTTTCTTTATGTATTTTTCCTTAAAATAAAACTTGAAATATGGTCTTCTCTAGAATCTGTGTATTATAATTTTAGATTAAATTTCGATCTCAGAATATATACGTTATAGGAGATATACTTTACAGCGTGTTTTAGCACAAATTGTTCCTTATATCGACATTGTATTAGGGATATTTAAATATCTGTTACAATTTGTCAATACTTTAAACCAAGAGTTAACAACAATACGCCTAATAAGTAGCAATATCTGAAATATTTATAAATATAGTAAATTAATGAAATATTTTACATATCAGAAACTTCAATAACTAAGTCTTTGAAATTGATATTTTGTATTTTAATATTTCACCTAATTTGGCGGTGAATAATATATGAAATATGAATGAATACGAAATAATACGAAATAATACGAATTATTCAAAACGAAATAATAAATGAAACTTGGTAACTAATTTCACATTCATAAAATATATAGACATAATAATATATAAGTTTTGAAATTAAAATACATAATTATAACGTCATTATACAAATCATTCCTTGGGTCAAACTGAACAAGTCACAAAATTATTATTTTCTGTTTATTTCCATAAATAGAAACAGTAAAACAATAAAGTGATAAAACTGTTTAACAATGAACTCAAACTTAAAATTTATTTAATTATATACGTTTTCCCTTTTGCTCTCGACAAAATTAATTTTTTCACATGGCCACTATTCCTCCTAAAGGACGAAATACCCTCCTATATAAAGACTTTATGTAAAACGTCTCAATTTGTTTATTTCTTTTGTATATAAAGTTTTTTTTTTTGCTATTTATAGATATTTGTGAACTCAATAGTAAAAATAGAAATATTGCAAAAATGTCAAAACTTTTTTCTTCTTTCATCACAAATTTTCGTAATAGTTCTAATAATTATAATAAAAATCTATAAATATACAAATATATAATTACGAGTGTGAAAATATATAAACATATATATTTATAAATGTGTAATTGAATAATAGAAAGAAAATTATTACACTCTTTTTGGGACGATAAAATTATTTTTAGTAGAAAATTATAATATTTAAAAAAATATTTATTTATTTTCAAATTTTATATTTTCTCTTTCCTATAAAGCTAATTAATTTCTAACAAGTTCGAAAATAAAGATTTTTTTGGAGATTTTAAACTTAATTTTGTAAACTGTCCAAACTTAAATATTGAGAATTTAATGTTCATTTGCTATAGAACAAAATGGGAAGCCACCAATACTTCCACAAATGTTTCGTAACTGCTCATGTCATCTACACTTTTATACATAGTTTGGTGTACTTAAGTTAAGTCTGATAGAAATTTTGTTCATATTTTCTTCCCCTCTCGAGTTATCACCTATAAAAATTAGCCAAATTTCAATTAATACTTTTCAAAATTTAACTCATTTCTTTCAAATTTAGATATTCAGTTTTAATTATACAGACTTAATTTAACATACAATAATTAATCATAATATTAATATTTCACTTAATTACTAAACTTCTCAGTAAGGGTATGCAGTAGTAAAACGTATGATATTTAAGAGAATGTGATCAATAAATACGGTTTCTTAAAAAAATATTTTAAGTTTTTTAAACGAAATATGCTACTTTACAAACCATTGGTTTTATCCAAACTTATTAATTAATTTTTTTTATTAACTTTTTAACTTTTTCAATTATATTTTAATATTTATTGGTATATTGATTTTCTATCACACATCTTTTTACTGACTATACATTATAATATAATAGCTGAGGTATTGTTTTCATGTCAAAAATATGCCTATAAAGTTTTCAATCCATTATTCGGAGCAGTGAGAAAAAAAGAACTATGTAATTTTAGTATAAGATATGTATGTGTCGATCTGTATACACTCTTGAATCTCAAGTTCGGCTGAACTGATTTTTGTTGTCTGAACCTGATTAGTTCAAGAATTACAACCTCCAAACCAAAGTTGAATTTTACAGAGTTTTGATAATTCTTATAGAAAAATAATCAATATATATTTTCTTAAAGTTTCATACACATACATACATACATACACAGGTTCCGTCTCTATTCAAGTTATATGAAAAAATGATGTGTCAGTGGAACGTTTCTACAAATCAAATTTGCGTTTTTGCCCATATACAAGAAAATTATTTATCAATTTCCTCCAAATTTTATTTTTCAATACTGATTATCACAAGGAAACCAACTAACTCATGAAGATCAAGCTTAAGAAAATGGAGTTTTAATAGAGAGCGATTTTACATTTTTGACCATCGCACTTAACACAGTGAATTTTCCAAATATCAAATTTTGATTATATGTTCATAAACGGCTCAAAGGCAGAACTAATTTGAAAGCAGTATATTTATAAAACTGTTTTGAATTGAAATTTTTCTCAATGTGCCGTCTGTCATATGCAGACCACATGCGATTTTTGAACTTAAATTTGTTTTGAAAGTTGTTTTAATAGTTTGAAAAAACAAAATCACGGAATCATCGAATTTGAAATGAATTCTACATCATTTTACGTTCTCATTCAATGTTTTTATTTTCTGAATTCACTCTGTGTAAGCATTTTAAAATATTTTCAAAAATATAAATTGTAATTGAATTCATATATCTAATTTTAATTTTAGCATAACGTAAACCTGTATATATGGTCTACTTATACTTTTTATAAGTATGTATATTAAATTTAATTTGAAAAATCTTAATTATTTTTCTTACAAAAGTTTTTGAAATACATAGTATAGAAAATCCTCTATAAGATCCATAATAATTACGTTCAAAATTTTCTATATTATAATATTAAAAATTATTCCTTTTTCTCATAATGTTTTAATTATTGTTATTCATATATATGTATGTATGTACTATAATTTCTGAACATTTTTAAAATTTAATGTTTAAATTAAAATGTAATACAATTTTGTATAGTTTTTTGAAAAAAAAAAAAACTTGTATACTTTACATAAATTTAATTAAAATACATCATTTTTAAAAACAAAAATACATTTCAGTCGATAAGGATTTTCAAACATATTTTCATTAATAATTAGTGCTATAATGTGAGCTAATTATACCCAAGTGAATATAAAGTAGAATATGAAGTGAAGGCATATATACACATTAGCGAGACCGTCTAAATGTAATTTCATTAATTTTTTGTTCAGTTGAAAATCACGTTCTGTTATATACAAAAAAATTCTATTTCTTAGCTATTTCGATGTCTTTTTCCTTATATCCGGGACCCAGTTCTATACTTGATCAGCCTGACGACCTGTTGGAATTCATACCCAGGGTTGTCATTTTGGAAATTCCTTACAAAAACTGGTAACCTTATTTCCGTTTTGATAATTTGTTAACTTCTTATTTGATTTGGAAAAATTTCCCCGTAAATTCCCCAATTCTTATAGTGCTGACATTCTTTGAAATCACTAAAAATAAATGTGATTTCAAAACAGAAAAAATGTTGTTTTCGGACCACATTCTTCTTAACATTAAAACTAACACTTTTTTTAAGTAAAAATTCTTAACGAAAAAAAGTTTTCTTTTCAAAAGTAACTTGCTTCGTTTGAAACCCTGGTAACAAAACTATCCCCTCTTTCGCTGTTTCTCGTGCTCTGTACACCTACATCAATAATACAAATTTTTTACCTGGCATCAAGAGCTTTTTCCGTGTTACATTTTAGTACCCATAGAGTACGGTTCTGTTGTCAAATATAGTATGTATATAGATCCTGAGCTTTTTAATATTTCTCCGCAGAAATATGCCGATAACAAGCATTTTTTCATACAAATTTTATTTTTCTATAAACACTTAATCTTAATGTCAATTATCAAATTTCAAATATAATTATAAATATTATCTAAATATTTAATATTTACCTAATACAAATCCCCCACTTTCAATAACTAAAAAAAATTCGGTTTTATTTGGGATAATACGAAAAATTAAGGCCTTCAAAAATTTTGTACCTAATATATCAATTTTTTTTTTTTTTCTAAAAAACCAAATCATTCAAATTAGAAAAACCATATAGGTTTGCATATTTTTTTTCCCTCCATAAAATATAAATAGTCCCATCATACAAGTGCATTTTTAATTTAATTATACGTTGTTGGTTTTGACAATGTTCTATTTCAAATTTGTAATCCATATTTTATATAAAGCATACTTAACATTTTATAACGTAAACACATAAATATATACATATAGATATATATAAGTAGATATTAATATAAACATGCACTTTAAAATGTTATATGCATATACATGAGAAGAGAACAATTAAATTTTGTATTTTTATACCCTACATAGATAAAATGTAACAAATAGTGTCCGATATAAAATATCATTTAGTCGCAGTATTCAGTTATATTAAGAAATACAGTTGTTGTCTATAGGAAAT